AAATCTTCTGATATTGCAACAAGAACTTGTCTGTTTACTCCAGTATCTTTTCTATAAGGTCTTTGCCAGTCCTTTGAGTGAGAGGATGTTGTTGTGGTGGTGAGCTGATTTCATCCTTTAACACAGTAAAAATCTTTACCACCATCAATCCTTAGCCTAAAAAAAATAGCCACCAGAAATTAAAATGAATTGAATAAGAATCTCCATTTTCTTATGTGATTTTTAAGTCACTGCAGGTAAAGAAATTACTCAAGTGTTGACCTTTTCTTAGAAAACTCATGCAAAAATTAGGCTCTACCATCTTACTGTTTAATGTTTAGTTTGTAGTTCTGACAAATTTTTTTAATCCGTTGTTTGACAGGTAGATTTTAATTGTGCATTTATAAAGACTAGAGTGTTCAATTTCGGAGCCCTGGATGGCAGCAGGGCACTACTTTGACCTAAAACCAAACATATTTTTTGTTGATAATAAACTTTGTTTAGAAAGTTTAAATTTTTCAAACTATTTATTTTTAAAGTGATAAGAAACTTGTCTAAAATATAATTTCTGAAACCTATCTAGTCTCATTTCTTAATAGACTTTCATTATAAAGTTTTATGTTAATTATTAAGGAAAATAACTAAGTTTCAAAAACAAAAAAAACAAAACTAACAAAATAGAATATAAAAGGAAACTTGAATAGAAAAAAAAAAATGTTTAAAACTTAAATAATTAGCGTACTTTTTTTATTTTTGTTTTAAGCGGTTGTTATTTTCAGCAACAAAATTAGATAAGGCCGCACAGAGCCGAATGTTTTAATGAAATGTATCTCTGCTAAAAAATTGCAGATAAAAAACATATAGGAGAAAAAAAGGTAATATGAAACAATTAAAGTTATGTGTAGACGGCACAGCCTAGTTGAAACTAAAAAACTATGTTAAATGTTAGGGTTAAATGGTACAAGAAATCTGAATGTGATGAGATGTATATCATACAAAAATATATAAAATTAAATTATTATTTTTTTTTTCTATTTAAGTTTATTTTAACTTCCTATTTTGTTAGTTTAACTTTCTTTGTTAAATAAAACTTGCAAACACCTGTGACCAAGTTGTCTAAAATAAAATACTGTGAGAACATACAAGACGAAAAACTACACACATTTCCTGTGATTGGATAATATACAATTCAGAAAAAATTATGGACTCCTAAAAATGGCTCGGGCTAAAACTTAAGAAACTGTGCCTTCAGTTCAAACCACCGGTAACCTAGGATCAACACTAATTTTAATAAGAATTTTTTTACTCTCCTGATTAAATAGACTTTATTACAGGGTAATTCCATGTCAAATGACCCAGGTCATTTCACCATACATCTTAGATTTTGCTGATTTTTATACAGTTTAGAGTTTTGAGTAAAATAAGAATTCCTTGAAAATATTAGCCTCTGGCTCTAAGAAGATCCTGAAATATGACCATTTTACTTTTTACAGATGTTGGTGTGGCCCTTCTTGTCCCCTCAGAATTGCAATGTTTATTTAGAGGTTTCAAGTCACATAATGTTAAAAATATTTGATCTTTTTACTTAAAAACTCGTAACTGGCTATTTTTGGGGGTGACAAATCCAACAAAATAATCAGATGCTTAAAAAATTATTTAAATGAATTTAGGCAATTTTTTATCATATCATTTTAAATCAATTTAGGTAATTTTTTACAAACCTGTTTTAAATGCTCAAGAAACCCATGTGGCCTTGATGATATTAAAAAATTTATAATATACATCATTCTATGCCAACATTTCCCTTTGTTACTTTAGGTATCTCGCTTGACATTTTGCAATGTAGGAATGAGCTGTTAACTTGTTTATTGCCTCTGATAAAATCATTTTTTAAGATAATGCTTATCAAAATTATACCTTATGAAAGACGCAAAAAAAAATTTTTTTTTGAGAAAAGTGGGGCATGGCTCACAGAAACCCAGCCTTATGGACCTCTGGTCATCTGCTCTGGAAACAATTTTAACACACCTTTATCAGGACTAGACAAATGTTGAAACTCCAGATTATCTGAGGAAGTCAACAATACTGGGTGAGAGACAGTACAAAATCACAAGATTCTGCTACAAAAATGTTGGGACCATGTCCCATTATCCATATATAGAAATTCATATATTTGCAGATCGAAATTTTTATATTTTTCGAAAGATCAATGAATGATGCATAATATATAATTTTTAATATATTACACAACATTTCATTTTGAGGAATCACTAGAAAAAGATCAAGATCATCATTTTGGTAAATATTACTTCATGACAATCTTTATTTAATGCTTTTATAATGCAATATTGAGTTAACAATCTGCTTGCTATTTATTGTTAACTACCATCTAAAAATATATATTTAAATAAAAGTTTTGAAATATTTGTTTTGGCACAACAAATAAATAAGAAATTTTGTATATAAAATAAAAATATAAAAACAACAATAACTTGTTTCTCTTTTATGTGACAGCTTTTAAATGTGTATGTTTAGTAGTGTGTTTGTGTATGAAAGCACTTTATGCACCAGACATAAAACCAGACACACTATTGTAGGAGAATGTTCAATTACAATATTTTTTTATTTTTAGAAAAACCAGAAATTTCAAATGACCATAACTTAGAACCACAAAAAATTATGTTAAAAACTGCTTTTCTCAATGATATAAACTAACCCACTAAGTTTCATCAAAATCTGTTTATATTGAAACCCTAAAATTTTGGTCCATTTGGCATGGAATGACCTTTGTGTAAAGCCAGTATGATAACTATTAGTATTAAAGTTGTATAAATTTATTTCTTATACGCATCATATTTCAGACATGATTTAATTTACATAACAACGAAACAATCCTATGATTCAACTATTCTTATCAGTTTCAAATATATTAGTGTATATAACATAAATAAATAAATATATATATATATATATATATATATATATATATATATATATATATATATATATATATATATATATATATATATATATAAAAATATATATATATATATATATATATATATATATATATATATATATAAATATATATATATATATATATGTATATACATATATATATATATATATATATATATTTATATATAAATATATATATATATATATATATATATATATATATATATATATATATATATATATGTATATATATATATATATATATATATATATATATATATATATATATATATATATATATATATATATATATATATATATATATATAAATTAGTAAAAATTGTTGACATAATAATTTTAGATCTATCAAAGAAAAAAAGTTTTTTTCTCTAATAGATCTATTTGTTTTTTAGAAAATTGGTAGACAATTACCTTTAACAAAAAATTAAACTTTAACCACTAATCGCTGTATATATATATATATATATATATATATATATATATATATATATATATATATATATATATATATATATATATATATATATATATTTAATTAATAGGAATAGGTAGAAATGAGAAATATAATATATATATATATATATATATAAAATAGGAATAAGTAGAAATGAGAAATATAATATATATATATATATATATATATATATATATATATATATATATATATATATATATATATATATATATATATATATATATATATTTATATTAGAGTGCCACTGAAAACAACTTTTTTTGAAATTGTCTGCTGCCACCCCCTAAATGTTTCTATGTAATAAATTAATGCTAAATTAAAAAAAATTTTAACTAAAAAAATTGCTTCCCCATCCCAAACGCTCAGTCGATGTAGCAGCACTCCACTGCGAGTCAGGCTATTTGTCAGTTGATGTATGTACGGAAGCCTCCAGCAGCCGGCTATTTCAGTATGACATCAGATTGCTTACCAAAGTACGCAATACTATTTGTATATATATATATATATATATATATATAATATATATATATATATATATATATATATATATATATATATATATCTTTATATTGTAGTTGAATGAGACTTTTAATGTAAAAAAAGTCTCTTTCGACTACGACTTTGCTACTTCAATAATTAAGCTATATTTTATTGTTGTTGAAATGTCAAAGCAATTAAATTAATGCAGGAGTACATTATATTTTATTGTTTTTTAAAAAAACCGCAATAATAATGACTAAAAAGTTTTTTTAAATTAATGGTGTTTTTGTTGTTGTTTTATCAAAATATATTTTTAAAATATGAATGGAGTGTTGCTACATTGACTATCTCATAGCCTGCTGCTACAAGAAAGTGTTGCTACATCGACTATCTTATAGCCTGACTCGCAACAGAGTGTTGCTTCATCGACTATCTTATAGCCTAACTTGCAATAGAGTGCTGCTACAACAACTGACAAATAGACTGACTCGCAAGAGAGTGCTGCTACATCTACTGACAAATAGCCTGACTCGCAAGGGAGTACTGCTACATCGACTAAGGGTTTGGTTTGGACAGGCAGTCTACCATTTCAGAATAAGAAAAAAATTATCTAAGTTTTTTAAATTTTTTAGTTCTGGTTAATTAACGTGCTCTTTAAAACTACAGTTTATGGGAAAAACTTTCTGACTACCATGCAAGACTATATATATATATATATATATATATATATATATATATATATATATATATATATATATATATATATATATATATATATATATATATATATATATATATATATATATATATATATATATATATATCAGGGGCTATTCTAGACCGTTTTCAACAGTGTCTAATATATTTGGGCACTGCCCAAATTAAAATTTAAGGACCTTTTTTTATTTTACATTTTCTTTTGGCAAACATTGTTTTTTTCACAAAAAAATACAGATTTTCCAGTAAGTTTCACCAAGACAGGGGGGTACCACCGTCCAAATTTTTTCCCTAGAATAGGCCCAGTATATATATATTCAACATAAAATAGAAATTATAGTTGAAAAACTTTTAAAATATATATACATACCATTAAACTATCATTGCTACTTGAACTTTCTAAAAAAAATATAAACTTAATATCATAAGGATTTATTAAAATAAAACTTGAAATGCTTTAATTTTTTCACAAAGTAAATTTGTGGAAAATTTAAAACATTTTAATATTTCTTGCATATTCTTCGAGACAAAAAATATATATTTAGCCCGCATGTGGGCTAAGTGTTTTTAAATGGAATAAAATTCTTGTTTATGATTGGTATATAAACTGATGATTAGAGTGGCACACATGTGAAACACATAATGTGGTTTACATAACTATGCCATTTAATGTTGTATAATCTTTAATTACATAAAAAATACATGAAAATGAAAAGAAGAATTCATTTAATTGGATGACTTCTACATGTTAATGAGTTACCATTGCATCATTTAATTTCTTAATGGTTCTCCTGATAATGCAAATAATTATTCTGGTAATCAATAATAATTCTTTAAATTATAATTGTTGATAATATTAATATTAACAATAACATTATTATAATTTATAGAAACTCTTTTTTTTAACAGCATGAAAGTTTTATTGCTGTTAAACTTTATTCTGCTGAATAGGATTATAGATCAATTATATTATTTTTAATAAAATACTATTAATAATAATAATATACTAAATCAAATAAATCTGTTCAATCAATGAAATCCATTTGTAATCTTAAAAAAATTGGTGTTGTTTTATTAAAAAAAGAAACACCAATTATTTGTCCTATTATTTAGTTTGTTTGAAGTTTCTGTAAATATGTATTTATAATAATAGCTACTATAATTCAACTATTTAATTATAACAAATACTGTTTTTTTATATAAAAAACTACAATGATTAGGCCTAATGCAAGGTGGCCGACAACAGCAGTGAAGATCTTGGCACTATACACAAGAACAATTAATAAAGTAGAGAGAGCTTAGAAACTTTATTGAATATATACAAACAGTGTATAGTCCAATATGGTTCAATATCAAAAAATCTCAAAGAGCCAATTTCACAGAGGGTCTAAACTAATTTTTCAAATTAATTCAACTGATTTTCAGATTCATTTCTTGAGTTCAAGACACTATAGCCCATAACTTATAGAAAATCTTTTTGTTTTTAAACTGATAATTTTATTGCTGATTATAGAACAGTTATTAGTCCTTACAACAAATATCAGTATTTTGGAAACCCCTATTAAGGAGCCTAAATATGGATTAAAAGATAATTGTTGTCATTCTAGTCATTTATTGTATATGTAAAAACTGTACAGCTAAAAACTGGTCAAAGCATACAAATTTGTATGATGCAGACTGTTTTGAGCCTATTGAGTGGAAGAGTTTTTAAATGTTAAAAGTATAATAGCCGTACATGGACTGCACCAAAGCCAAATGAAAAAGGAGCGTTTTACATATGATTAATGTGCAATTGTCAAATATATCTTACATTAAAACTTCTTGTTGGGTAACTCTAGAATTAACTTATTAAACAAGTATTTTAATCCAAATGCATATATGCAACATTATTTTATACTAATTGTTATAAAATGTAAGTCAGAAGTTGAAATAAAAACATATTTAACAGTTTGTCAGCATTAAAAAAATTCAAAAGAAATATTTACCATCAATACTATCCTCATCACTCTCTGTTTCTTCTACATACTGGCTGTTGTTAGAAATATATTCGTTCTCTGGATCACTTAAGTCACTTACATTAAAAGATTCACCAATAGATGAAACATTTTCATACTAAAACAACAACAGAGATTCTAATCAGAATATTATTAGTTTTTGTACATTAAAGAAAAACAAATACAAAATCACATTACTCAATAGATAAATGTTAAAAAGAGGTTGAGACTTCCTAACTTCTATGCAAGTTTAAAAGAATAAAATGTTCTTAGAACTAATGTAAAAAAAAATATGAAAAATAAATAAATAAAATAAAACAAAAACAAACAAGAAAAAAAGACAAGAAAAAAAAACAACCTTTTTTGTGATATTTTCTAAATCAACTTTAAATGCTTCAAAGAAGGCCATTTCAATTCATTTTTTAAATATTTCTAATAAGTAAAAACTATTTAAATAATTCAAAACTTGTCATGCAAGAAATTTTTAAAACTTACCCTAAAACATAATTTTTTCCCATTTCTTATTATTCTAACCCTTAAAACAATGTTATATATTGAGACATAACAGTTTATGTTACGGTTACATAACAAATATATGATACTTTCATTCGTAATTAAGATGTAAAATTTGTATAACAAGATATAAAAATCCAAGGGACAAACTTATTAATCGTAAATTGCAATATCTTGAAAAACTTCTGGTCTTATAATTCTTAGTTTTATCATTCTCATTAAAAACTGTGAACACTGTTTTAATGAAAGGCCAATTTATCATATTGCAAAAATGTATGAAAAAACAAAATAATAGATTGTTTAAACCCCAGTTAATTCAAGTATTACAAATGAAATAAAAAGTTAAAATACTAATTACTAAAGATCCAAAAAATTTGAGCCGTAATCCTAAAAACAACCAAATAAAAATTATAAGCTAAAACTTTTTGCGCATTGATTTATTAAAAGATATTGAATATGATTTAAATAAGATATTAAAGTAGTTACAATTTCTTTTCTTTAAAATATTTGATCACTGCTAAATTCCTTTAGACCGTTGACAACAATACAACCATCAATTTTTTAAAACCAGGCAAAAGTGCTGTTGGTTCAAAAGTTATATCCTTCAATCACGCTTAATTTTTTTATATAGAAATGGTGATGGGGTTTTTTTCTGAATATTTGTAGTTCCTGAGTTATGGTTGGTCAAACTTCTGACCATTTAACACTTGGAAAGACATTAAGCGGTTTTTAAACTAAATTTAAAGACAATCAGATAATTGCAACCTAAGTTTTTTTTTTTATTAGGAAAGCATAGCTAGAACTTTAAAAAAACTGAGAAAAACTGATTCTTAGTCTAAAAATCATACACTGAAATCACACATTTTAAAATTTAGGGCCTACTTTAAATACATTTATCTCAAAACATAAAAGGTTCCAGAAAAGTATTTTATCATTTTTGGAAAGGGCATCCTATTGCAGTTTTAATGATTTGAAAAATTTGACAGGGTATTGATTATTATGATAGAGTCATCAAACTGTAATAAAATATTCATGTGTTCAAAAATCAGGCGTTATGAGAAATCGGAATAGTCCCATGATTGAATGTATAGATTTCAATTACTCCATAATACCATTCTTTTAATGCAAACAAAAAAAACTTGAGTGGTAATACTGCATTGTTAAAATAACTCCATTACAAAAAGTTTATTTCTTTATATATATATATATATATATATATATATATATATATATATATATATATATATATATATATATATATATATATATATATATATATATATATATATATATATATATATATATATATATATATATATATATATATATATATATATATATATATATATATATATATATATATATATATATATAAACACAGCAGAACTAATATATTAATCCATAAACTATTTTTTTTTTAATCTTAATATTTAATTGTCAGTAGCATAGATAAGATTTTTTGTTGCCTTATAAATGACACTTTCAAGCATCTATACAAACTCTAAATATATGTATGTTCAAATTTATGTAAAATAAGAAAGCTTTGCTAAAAATTAAGGTAATTAGTTTAGTTTATTGTGCTGTTTCATACTAAATTTATTTTGCTGTCTCATACTAAATTTAAATTTATTGACAGGTTTTTAATTTTATCTAATAATCTTTTAGTGTTCGAAAGTTATAAGCATGTAAAATTCCCATCCTTTCCGAAAAGAGGGGATTATAAATTTTACATGGTCATAACTTTTGAACATTAAATGGTTATTAGATGAAATTGAAAAATTGATGAAAATGAATTTAAATTCTGTATAAGTAAAAAAATACTTTAATTAATCATTGTCCTCACATTTAGGGTATGGGGGGAGTGATCTTTTTGGGGTGTTTTGGTTCCCAGGCTCCGATCACCATAATTTTTTGCAAAACATTCTCACTTGACATAAACATGAACATACTTAAGTTTGGAGTTTGAACAAAGCTTAAAAGTGTTAAATTTTTTTTCAAAATTCATATTATTTAATTAAAATTCATGTATATATATATATATATATATATATATATATATATATATATATATATATATATATATATATATATATACATATATATATATATATATATATATATATATATATATATATATATATATATATATACATATATATATATATATATATATATATATATATATATATATACATATATAAATATATATATTATATATAATATATATAAATAAATATGCATGTATATTTATATATAAAAATCGTCAAGATCCACGTGATGATTATCACTATTATCATCATCATAATCACCATCATTATTGTCATGCTTTAGCCTTCCCCTTTTATGCTGTTTCTCTAATATAAAAAATCTTGTACATTTTCTTTCTTTAACTAAAGCTTGTTCATACCATATGTAATAAACTTTTATTCCTTTTTAAATTAATTATATAAATTTTCCTAATTTAATTAATATTTAAACAGACTTTTATTCATTTTTTATATTTTTCACAGGATAAACATTAATAACAGATGAATTTATTATATCTGAAGTTTTACGGCCCTGTATAAACATTTTGAATAAATAAATACTCTCTCCACGTTTTCTTACATCTACCTCTACCATTTTCTCCTAAAGCTCTCACCTTTCTACATGCTGATACCCAAACCACTTTAATCTCTAATCTAAATCAAACCTCATTCTACTCCACATTTTTCATCTTCTTGTGCAGTTGTTAATTAAATTTTTATCTTTTTTTTTTTTTTGTTGCTGTCTTTTTTAAAAAAACATTTCTATTGAAAAAAAATGCCTTTTCATTATTGCAAGAAGTTAATGTAAAAAGGCCCTGTCTGATGCTTTTCCCCAGAATAAGGGAGAGTTATTTACAAAGAACTTTTCCTCTAATCTAATAGCCGTACTCTTCTTGCCATTTCAGTTAAACAGGATAACTAAATGTTAGACATTCAGATCACTTCTCTTCCTGATGCTAAAGTCAGTTCTCTATTACAATCTTCTATGACTTGTGGTTCAGACAACATTTCCATCATAGTCTTACAAAAGTGTTCTCTGTAATTTTCTTCAATCCTTGCTAAGCTATTAATAAGTGCTAAATAAGTGGTAAATAAATAATTGAAAAATTAGAAAACACTCTGACCTCTTAAACTATCCAATGATAAGTTTTTTCTCTAGTATTATTTTTTTCATATAGAAGTTTTAAATTATTAAATTATTTCTCAGTAAGTCGTTCTAGAAAGCCTACATTCATATTTATTTCCAGTAACTTTAGGAGTACTGCAAGGTTTTATCTTTGCTGCTATTGTTTCTTATCTACAATAACAATCTGTCTTGAATTTTTTATCACTCAAAACAAATAGATGATCTTTAATTTGATCTCTCTTCTGTAGCAGCTTAGAGCAAACAGTGGCTTGTGGATTTCAACTCCAAAAAAACTTAGTTATCTACTAATAACAACTATCTTAATGTTGTTGACATTCCTATATTGAGGAATAACAATCCTCTTACTCTCAGACATTTGGCGTATAGTAAATGTATTTTAAAGCCTATTGCAAATGTAGTTGGACCTGTTTTTTCAGCCAAGTATGAGCCACTCTTCCATTGTTGTAGGGTTACATCACTATTCTACAGATACTATCTGTAGAATAGTGATGCAACCCTACAACAATGGAAGAGTGGTTCATCGTGATAGAGTGACAAACCAGTTTTAATCAGACAAACCAGTGAAAATCAGTTTTGGTTGATTGAATTTAAAATGATAGCTCGTTTGAGCAGCGACCTATCTCAGGTAGGTCAAAACTGATTTTCAAATCAACCAAAACTGATTTTCACTTGGTTTGTCATTCAAAAAAGTTGCATCCTTTTACTGCATCTGTCCCTCCTTGCTATAAAATTTTTTATTTATCTAGTTTGTTTCCTCGCGCGTCAACAAAATCTCAAAACTCTTACCCATCTTTATGTTTTCCTTACTCATACACTTTTGAGCATTGCCTGGTTTTCTCAGAAAATGGCTTTTAAGTTTTCTGATTAAAACAATTGTTTCAAAATTGTTTTTACTATAGTATTTCCAGGTATAATAATTTGCGTTTTCATTTAGTTGGCCCGCTCAAGGTAACATAATATTTTATAAATAAATACAGAGGCGTAGCAAGGCGTAGCGACCGCGGAGCAGTTGGAACAAATGCTCCAAGCACACAAATTATTAGGGCGCAATTTTTTTTTGTACTTTTTTAAATTACCTCTGAGAAATCTTCATGGATCTTGTCCTTTCTTCGAAGCTTGCAGTCAGAATTTCTTGAGAATAGATTGGGGTTGCTGACAAACTTTCTGACTCAGAAAGTTTGCTAGCAACCCCAATCCAATTTATGAACTTAAATTGCGTAAGTAACGTGACTAGAACATGACTAGTAACTAGCGGGATTTGAACCCACTACGTTAAAGAATATAGTTTTCAATGAAATACCGTGTAATTATCTTAACTGAAAGTTATTCAATCACACTTCACTCTTTGAAAAAAACTATCTAGTGATATATTAGTAGGTGGCAAGTGTGAGGTGGAGGGGTGTCTTACCAATTAAAAAAAACGTCATTAAATTCTCAAATTTGCCTGCTAGAGATAAATAGTCCCATTTTGCCTACTGTAGCTAAAAAAGATCTAAATTTGCCGACTTATTCATTTAATAGGGGTGTCACAAACTCTTGCACATTCCTTCGCTCCGCTTTTGTTTTTAGTTGTTTTTTTATTTTGTATTTTTCAAAGAAACTGTTATTAAATGTCTAGATTAGAATTGTATTCAGTGCTGGATCAAGGAGGAGGGGGCTAGTGGGGCTATTTGGGGGCCCCGGGCCCAGCAAATTTTGGGACCCCCAAAAAATTTTAGAGGATCTTTTTTTTTCTTTTTAAGTCATTTTTAGGCTCTGGCCCTTAAAAAGGCCTCAAAAAACAAAATTAGCCCCGGGCCCTAAGAAGTCTTAATCCGCCACTGATTGTATTAATCAATGTTTGGGCTAGCATTTTTTCAGGATTAATAACCAGGAATTTTATATTCTTATACTTAAAATACAGCTGTAACAGATGGCAGATACCAAATATTGCAAGAAACAATTCCTAAACTGTGATTACTTCTTGATTGTAGAAACAGTTGTTAAAAATCAATCCAATCAACTTTTAAGAAAGTAATTTACTAAACTACTGCTTTTAAAAGCTTTCAAATTACCTGTTAAAATACCTTTTTTCTAATTGCAGAGCGGCGATTTCAACTTATTGTTGGAATAGTTAAACTAAAAACACAGTCTTAGAACAACCTTACTGATTAGTAGTGAGTTATTTCACCATTTTTACCAGATTATTCCAAAAATTGTGACGCGAAAACGTTCATTAAGTGAATAGTATTTTTCTTGGGTAATGGAAGCCTTCTTTTTGAACTGTTATGGTGAGTTGTTGGCAGTTTTGGGGTCTAGGATTTTTAAAAACGCTGTTCTGAAGTCTTGTCCATACATGCTCAATGAAAAAGGTCTGATAAATTCTCTGGCCAATCAGTCCAGACGTTGTTGAACTCCATATTGATAACATCCAGGTATGCATTAAAACAGTTTACTGAGCAAGGGGAAATTTGGCTTTATCTGTCATGGCAACTTTGTAAACAGGCAAGATCTTTTCCATGAAATAATCACCATCCACTGTTGTATTAACTTGTTGTAATACATAATAACTCTACTTGTTGTAGCACAGTATGTCAGGGGGTAGGGGGTCAGAAAGTAGTAGAACACTCTGTAGCTCGCTAATTTGATTTGGATAAAGTGGTTGACCGATTTGCAAAGGAAAAGGCAAGAAAAAACAATTTCAGATTATTTTCTAGAAATTAGAAACGTTTATAAGTTTTGAATAAACTTGATTTTAAATAAATTGTTATTAGGTAGAACAAAATCATAAAGCTTCAACGGAGTTTGCATATCGATAAGAAAAAAATTTTGTCCAGATTAAAAGAATGTATACATATAAGAAAATACCAATCAGGTTGCTGAAATTCAGGCTTTTCCTAAAGAAAGACGTGAAACGTTGAATGATATTTTGAATCAGAATTACTGACCTAACCCTTAACTTTATTTTTCTATCAAATTAATAGCATTACGATTGCCAACTAAGCATTTTAGTATCATCAAACAGGACATTAGAATTATATATAAGATTTTTCAATCCATAATTTGGCATATGTATATGACCAAATTGATAGTCAACAGGATAGGTATTAAGAATATTCCACTTTTTGTCATTAAACCCATTAGCCTTTTATTGTGTAATGGTAGCATTAGCATCAACATACTGACCACCCCGATCTAAAGACGTATCACATAATTTGAATACGCCTAATAATTTAAACACGCCTGATACATAATTTAAACACGCCTGATAGGGATTGTTAAACAATAACTTTATGGGTTTATGTAAGCCACCCAGACAGCAAGCTTACATTGGACCAATGTTGGGCCAATGCATGGTGATGCATTGGCCCAACGTTGAAAGTCGATGTTGGCCCAATGCAGGTTTGATCATTGGTTAGGTATTAACCCAATGTTTTGTACAACATTGGCCCAATGTTGTATACAACGTTTACCCAACATTGGCACAACGTTGTATATAACGTTAGGCCAATGTTGTATACAACATTGGCCCAACGTTTTATACAACATTGGCCCAACGTTGTATACAAAATTGGCCCAATATCGTATGTTATACGATTATTATTTTTATATTGGCCTAACGTTTTATGCAACATTAGATCGTTGTTACAAATAAGATGATTTGCATCGCTACATTGAAAAATTATAGAGAAAAAAAAGAATGTATTATACAAGTATAAATATTTATTTATTAAACATAATTTCTCGGTTAAATATACATATTGCAAACACCAAACTTATACCAAAAACTGACACATTGAGTTTTAAATAAAAAATTTCACTATAAAATTTATAGAGCAGTTTCGATATTGACTGAGCTACTTGTTATTGAATCGTGTTTAGCTTATGATATTTGGTGCCCACGATTATTATTTTTTCTTCCGCTATCTCTATCACATGTCTGCATAAGCCATGCTTAATTGACTTCACAGTTTCTGCAAAAAAAAAATAGTTGTTTGTTTAATTATGCACCAAAGAAACATAACAAATTGCAAGTAATTCTGTAATACAAAATTGAAACTGAAAAAATAAACTTTTCTAAACCACTTACCAATAGCAGCATATGCAATCAACATTTTTCCTATTCCAATTTTTTATCCTCTCCATAATTTAATTTTACAGCTAGGCCATTTTAATAAACTATTCTTAGTAAATAACAAATACAATCTCCTTCGTCTTTAACTACAATTTGTGCCAAATAATTAACTTGCAAAAATACACAGCCTGGCAGTTATTAAAGTAACTTTAGTTTAGAATTAATTTAATATAAAATGTCATTTACAAAAAATCTTCAAAGAGTATTTTATTTAAAGTATATAAATTGTACTACATATCATACTAAATGCATAAACAGATCATAAAAAAATATTTACCATTTACTGAAGTGTTTTCTTGTCTTTTTTATTCCAGAGTACTTGAATTCTTCACTGCTTTTAATGGCAATGACACTCCTTCAGGCAATACAATAATTAGCATACCTTTGATACTCAAATTTTTATAACTGAATTTGATGTATTTTGTAGTTCACCAAGTTGCACTTCAATGCTTGCCCATTGTGCCAATAATACCAGTATATCTTTCAAGGATACAACTTTATCTTGAAACAATAAAGTTAATTATATTATTAAGAAACTATACAACTAATTATATATTATATTTAGAATTTATGAAAGTAAATACAATAATCACTTATAAAACAGATAAAATTAAAGACAGAGGGCCAAACTTTTAATGATCAAAATATATACTTGCTAATGGATTCATAATATTTTTATGAACTATGAAATTTGCAGGTGTGCATTCAATTTCTGGGACTGACACAAAACAATTCTTATTAATTTTTGAGATACACATTGCAATGTAAAACAAAAAAACTTATACTAAAACAATGTTTCTCAAACAGGGTTCGTAGCCAACTATTTATATAAGATTAAATGACTTTTTTGAAAAATCAGATGAATTTCCCTGACGATTTTTAACAATGGTTTTTACAAAATGTTTAAAATTACTATCTACTGTAATGGAAATGCTAAGAATATACATGCTTTGAATGACAAAACTTATAAAACTTAGCTATTACTTAAGTTAGATATTAGTATAGATCTTATTATACATGTAAGTATGGTTCTTATTATTAAGGATGATTAAGAATGAACACTAAGAAAAACATGTTTCAGAAAAAATAAATTAGTAGCACCAAAAAAAAACATAATACCTTAATTGAGCGCTGTATTTTGAAAATGTGACAAGTCACAAAATTAAAATTTTACAGGAGAGTAAAAAACATTTTTCCTAAATAAAATTTTGTTTTTTAACTAAAAATTATTTTTTTTATCAAAAAAAAATCTTTATTTTATCTAAAAAATCTTTTTTTTATCTTATAATTTTATCTTTTACTAAAAAAAAAATTCTTTTCAAATAACCTCAATTTTAAAAAGTGTGACTCTTCACGTTTTCAAAATACAGCGTTCAATTGCAAAATGAGTAACTTAACTTGAATTACTGACTTTTCCATGACTATCTAAAAAAAAATAATTCCCTGACTTTTCCAGGTTTTCCACCACTTTGGCCAATATTAACACATTTTCCAGATTTTCCAGGTACAGTACAGACCTTGTCCAATGTTTGAATATATTTTTTTTTTACATATTTTAGTTCTGAATTTTAATAATACAATTTAAAAAATAATATCATCTATAAAAATATCGTATTACCTTTGTCTATTTGATAAATTTAAATAAACGTTTATATAATAAATAATAATGAACCACCAGCAACTGTTAAAACTTTAAACTGATATGAATAGTCTGTTGTTTTTTTCAACAGTTGATTTCAAATGGATTTCAAAGTTGGTGACTTTGAAATCCAACAAAAAATTTTTGTTACGTTCATAAACATAAATGTTCTCAAAACG